TATGATCTGTTCCAGAAGCCACTCTTTCATTGTTTTTTTGAGACAGGGTCTCACTATGCAGCACTGACAGGCCTGGACATCGCTATGTAGACCTGGAACTCACAGAGATCTGCCTGCCTCTGCCTCCCACTTGCTGGGACTAAAGGCCAGCTCCACCTCGCCCAGCAGAAGCCACTCTCTTAGTTTCTTTCCAGGTCATAAAAAAACAAAGTCCTAATTCCATATCGGGTTTGAATCACTTCAGTTCTACTGTATCTACTTATCTACAATAGATTGTGACCCGTTTCCAAATATCATTCAAACAGGAAGCCTTCTTTAAAAATCTAGATCTTTCTCTATCACCTTCTTCCATTTCTAGATTCTTCATCACACAACCAATTCTTTAAAATAATATAGTGGCTTGATGTGGAGGTACAGGCCTTGATCCTAGTACTTGGGAGGCAGAAGCAGGCAGATCTGTGTGAGACTGAGTCCAGCCTCAGATGGTCTAGATACAAATATGACGGTCTATCTCCGAAGAAGGCTTTCTGGGCTGTGTATCCCTGTAACAGGTTTATTTCTTGAGCATTAGCTCAATTTTTACAAGAATTGATATCTGCTTATATATTTTATATTTTAAATCAGTTTGGTTTTTCAGAAGTTGTGTTTCCAAACGAAAAATGTATTCTTAAAAACTACAGAACTCTAGCCAGGAGTGGTGGCACATCCCTTCACCCCTTTAATCAGAGGGCTTGGGAAACAGAGGCAGGCTGATCTCTGCAACAGAGATGTAGAAAATATTAAACCAATTTCAAGAATATTGCACTCGGAGGATTTTCCTCCTGCAGGTTTTTGCTGGCTTATCAAGAACTTGTTGTTGCAGCAGTGTAGGTCTGTAATCCCAGCACTTGAGAAGGGAAGGCAGAAGAATTAAGAGTTCAAAGTTTCTGGGCATGGTGGTGCACACCTTTAACCCTAGCACTTCGGAGGCAGAGGCAGGCATATCACTTCGAGATCCAGGCCAGTCTAGGGCTACATAGTGAGACTGTCTCAAAAAGCCAATGATGATGATGTTAATAGTAATAATAATAATAATAATAAATAATAATATCCTGAGAGAATGACTTGAAATGTATTTTTTATTTTTTAAATATTTTATTAGTATTTTTATTAGAATTTTATGTGTGTTGAACATATTGTCTACATGTATGTAAGTGCATCCTAGTTGTGCAAAGGCAGTGGAGATCAGAAGACGGTGTTGGAACCCCTGGAACTGGAGTTATGGATGGGTGTCAGCTACCATGTGGGTGCTGGGATTTGAACCTAGAGCCTCTGCAAGAAAAGCCAATACCATCTCTCTAGCCCCAAGTGTGTTATTTATTTATTTATTTATTTATTTATTCATTTATTTATTTATTTATTGTCATTTTGAGATAGGGGCTCCTTATAGTCCCAGCTGGCCTGGAACTCGTTATGTAGATTAGATGGCCTTAAACTCATAAAGATCTGCCTGCCTCTGCCTCCCAAGTGCTGGGATTAAAGGCACACAGAACCATGCCCAGCTAAAATTATTATTATTATTATTATTTTGGTCTTTTTTGTTTTGTTTATATGTATTTTTTAAATTATTTATTTAATAACCACATAATTAGAAGAAGCATTTCATGACAACAGCATTGACAATAACAATTTCCAGAGCTAAGATGCATCTGTTTCAAGATTGGCTGTAATTTTTAGGTTTACAGTTGAATTAATAGAGTTATACAATAGTGTACTCAGTATAAACCCTTTAAGATATAAAATTAAATGAGGTTTTAACATTTAAAAAAGATCTCCATTTCATTATTAAAATTCCCAGTTTCATACAGAAAAATTCATTTTTAATGTAACTGACACTAAGATGTTTGCACATGCATTTCTAATCTCTATATATCTGATTATTACTAGTCACAGTCATTTACTTTCTGAGCTCCTTGGCATCTGAGCATGGATATAAAGTCATCAGGTAGATTTCAATGGTAATGTTTTTCACATCTTGACCTTGACCTTACTAGGATCCCCAGTCTGCCATAGTCTGCCATAGCCTCCCAAGCACTGCAATTAAAAGCTTGTGTGACCATGCCTGCTATTAAACACCATAATTTTTCCAAATCTGTCTGAGATTTCATTGATTTTGTTTCACAATCCTGTTCTTTGTTGAAAAAAAGTTACATTTTTAGTTAGGGCATTAATTTTTAGTATGACTGATAAATAGAAGCCCAAAGCAATTTCAGAGTAAGAGCTTAAAAATCGCTTTGAACAATTTTGAATGAATTGACTATTAAGTTTATAGTCTTTAAAAGTGATTAGACTGATGGACAACCCATCAACATTTATATTCTTTTTTTTAGATTGATGTGTTTTGTTTAAAAATCAGTCTGGGGGCTGGTGAGATGGTTCAGTGGTTAAGAGGAATGTCTGCTCCTACAGAGCATCTGGGTTAAATTCCCAGTTACCATGTGGCAGCTAACAACCATCTGTAACTCCAGTTCCAGAGGAATCTGATGCCCTCTTCTGACATCCTCTGGCACTGCACATCACAGGTATATTTACATATATGCAGGCAATACACTCATACACATAAAATAAAAACAACAACAAAAAATTTTTTGGTCTTTTGAGACAGGGTCTCTCTGTAAACCCAGCTGGCCTGGAACTTGCTATGTAGATGAGGCTGGCCTTGTACTCACAGAGATCCACCTACCTCTGCCTCCCAAGTGCTGAGATTAAAGTTGTGTGCCACCACACCCAGCTAAATAAAATATTTTTAAAAAAATCAGTCTGGCAAGGAAGGCATGCTGGTGCACACCTCCAGTCCCAGTGTATGAAGGCAGAAGCGGAAGGACTGCAAGTCTGAGGACAGCTTGTACACACACAATGAATTCCAGGCCAGCCTGGGCTATATAGGGAGGCCCTGTGTCAAAACAACAAAACCAATTTCAGTATAATTGATATCTTGATTTATTAAATACATTGGTAAGCAACTGAATATAAAAATATAGCATATACATTTTTCTTCAACATATAAGCCATGCTATAAATGGCTGCTCTTTCAAGTTAGGTCTATGAAAAATATGTATTAGTGCTGGGAAAAGCACCATATTCCTTGTGCTTAGTCTTCAAATTCTTTATGCATTTTAGATGTATAGAGCACATCAATTTCAATACTAAATTGTAACTGGTAATAATTTTTATTTAGAATTAATAACATATGATGGAACAGGAGATTTGATGCCCAAGTTATCCCGATCACTAGAAAGTTTTCTAATAGCCAAATATTTTATTTTACTGAAATTATTATACTGAATATACATTTTATTATACTGAAATTATCTTTAAAAAAATAAGGAACTTAAAAATTCAGCTTCTAAAGCACAGGGCTGATGATAATAGTTCAGCAGGTAAAGGTGCTTGCTTCCAAGTCTGATCTCTTGAATTTGGTGGAAGGACAGAACAGGCTTCCACTAGTTATCTTCTGATTGCCACAGATGCATGCTATGGGTGCCCGCCCCATAAAAAAAAATTTATTTTTAAAAATCACGTTAGCCACATTTGAAGTAGACACTATATGTGGATGTTGATTATCACATATACTATGAGGCAGCACACCTCTGAGATTAGACCAGGAGAACCCATGTAAAAATTCTGGCTTTTCCTTTTTTTTGAGACAGGGTCTCCTTGTAGCCCCAGCTGTCCTGGAACTCACTATGTAGACCAGGCTGGCCTCGAACTCACAAAGATCCACCTGCCTCTGCCTCCCAAGTGCTGGGATTAAAGGCATGCGCCACCACGCCCAGCTGGCTTTTCCTTTTAAAGTCTGCTCCCACTTACAGGCCTCTCTTCAAGTTTTCTTCTATGAATAAATGGGGGCGAAGGGAAAACTAAGAGTTAACATGTGTTTAAACTTTGGCCTGCATAATTACTAGCAGGAACAGTGGGGGCTGTGGGCTCATTACATCCCAGTTTATCATAAAAATCACAACTTAAATGCGTACAATAAAGAAAATTAATCCATGCTCTGCAGCCATACGTACTTATAAATATTAATTTCGTTATTCAGGATATAAAAGACCGTTATCATGGCCTGTGTACGCCACAAAAATATCTATAAAGATCTAGCGTCTGTTAAGTTACAAGAAACAACAGCATCGGGGAGGGGATGAAGCGACACAAAATTTCTTTCTGGGTGTAAATTCTTGTTTTGTTTCTGTTTTTGAGATAGGATTTCACTATGTAGACCAGGCTGGGCTCCAACTCACAGAGATCCACCTGCCTTTGTTGCCAGAGCGAGGATTAAAAGGCGTGTGCCACCAAGCCTGACGAAGTCAATTATTTATTTATTT